TTTTTTCTATATATTTTTAGTTGTCCAGCTAATTTCTTTCTATTTTTAGTAGAGATGGGGTCTCACTCTTGCTCAGGCTGGTCTTGAACTCCTGATCTCGACCAATCCTCCAGCCTCGGCCTCCCAGAGTGCTAGGATTACAGGCATGAGCCACCGCACCCGGCCTAATTTTCTTAAATACAATAATGGCATTATGATAATGTCAGAGAATATTATTCTTAGCAGATGAATACTGAACTATTTAGGTCAAGTTATCATGATGTCTGTATTACTTTCAATGGTTAAAAACCAGAATCAACAAAAAAAGAGAGACATGAAGCATATATAGCAAAACATTAACTGAATTCAGATGGAAGGTTTCTGATGCAATGGTATCATTCTTTCAACTTTTCCGTATTCCTGAATATAGAAAAAAATCTGTTTAATGTAAGCATTAAGTCTAACAAGTTGCTGATTATATAAAAGTCACTGATGATATCCATCTTCCATAAAACACAGTACAGCTCATATCCATACATGTGGATGTTCAATAAATATAGTAAAATAAAAAATTTTTCCATGCTGTGGAAATGCTTCATGTGCCCATGTTTTTAAAAAGCAGGAAACAGGCCGGGCGCGGTGGCTCACACCTGTAATCCCAGCACTCTGGGAAGCCGAAGGGAGGATCACTTGAGGCCAGGAGTTCAAGACCAGTCTGAGCAGGAATGAGACCCCATCCTACAAAAAATAGTAAAAGTAGCCAGCTGTGGTGGTGCGCCCCTGTAGTCCCAGCTACTAGGGAGGCTGAGGCAGGAGGATAGCTTCAGCCCAGAAGACTGGGGTTACAGTGAGCTATGATGATGCCACTGCACTCTGGCCCCAGGGAACAGAGTGAGACCCTGTCTCTCAAAAAAAAAAAAGTAGGAGACAGGGCAGTATAGCAAAAGAACTAAGCTTTGGAGTCACATAACCTAGGTCCACAACCCATCTCTGCAATTTTAACCCCACAAAGACTATTTTGTAATCTTAAAAATATGTCTTTGAGTGACTGAGACTAAATAAGACCACATGGAAATCACTGGCCTCGTGCCACGTACATTCTGCCATCTTCAGCAATCCCCTTTTCTCGTCTATCCTCTATTGACTGAGATAAGAGATGATGCTCCAGACAGCAACGAAAGTCATAATTTAAATTTCTACAAGCCCCAAACTATCAATAGAACCTCCTGAAAAGCAATGGTGCTCCAGATATTCTATTTAGTGTAACAAAATTAAAGCCATCTCTAAAGAGTAAGGTGCAGATTCACAAGTAAAACACTCAAGACTACGCAAGGCATATTGCATTTTACTAATACTTACATCTTCCAGTGGTGTTATAGACGCACTCTCTCCTCCATAATACGGGTTCCGATCCATGTGAAGAACTTTCTTGCCATTCACTGACATTATGCCTGACAGGATGCATTCCTACAAGAAAAGCAGAAATATCTTCAAAAAAAAGAAAGTGCTACAACATGCTTAAAACTAATCTTCTTCTTCTAAAGCCCACCGTTACACATTCTCTTAGTGATGAATTCTTATTTTCCTGCAACATATGACATAATTTGTGGAGAAAGCCCTAAAGCAACTAGAGCTCAAAGTGTTGTAGTCTGTGGACATAAGCCACCTGTTCTACTGTGTTGACATTTGCATTGATGACGCAAAGTCAACGGCAGATAACACAAATTAAGACAGGGCTCTAAACTATATTAGCAGTCGTTACATTCTTCACCACCCGGCACTCACTAGAAAAGGTCTTTAATAAAGCATTAAAAATTAACTTTAGGACGGGCTCATGCCTATAATCCCAGCACTTTGGGAGGCCAAGGCAGGAGGATCACTTGAGCCACGGAGTCTGAGGTTGCAGTGAGCTATGACGACACTACTGCACTCTAGCCCCGCTAACAGAACAAGATCCTATCTCAAAAGAAAAAAAAAAATTAAAAAATTAACTTTCTAAACATATTCCCTTCAGTACACATTTTTAGTATTCTGTGTAACAAAATGGGGAGCACACAGACAAACCTTTTGTGTGCCACTGATTTGTAAGCTGAACTAGACACTTTTTTCATGGATCATCATTTTTATTTGAAAGAATAAATGACCAACAAACTATGGTTATTCAGACTTAGGTACTTGACAGACATTTTCTCAAAAATGAACACAAGGAAAATAACTGACATTATCTGTTGCCAATAAAAGTCAAAATTTTGAACAAAAATTAGAATTTTGGAAAACTCACATCTACTACCAAGAGCACATCAGGTCCCCTAAAACTTAAAGAATTTTTCAGACATTATCAGTGACAGTATTAACAAATATGATTTCTTATATCGTAAAATGAAATGT